CTCGCCCAGGACCAGACTTCAGTCTATAAAAATATATCACGGAATGACGTTCTTTCAAAGGAATTCTCGATACAGGACGTATTGCCCACTGCTAATGACTTGCCTTCATTCGCTCAGGGGTGAACTTCCTTCCAGGCCGGAAATCCAATAAGCTCCGTAAGAGGCTTTCCTTTGGAGCAAGCGTTCGTGATACTCACTGGCGACTCAAGCGACCCACTGAACGATCATCTGTCTATCAAGCTATTGATCCAAACCTACTTGAACAGATGGAATAATACAGTGGCTCTTAAGCCCCATTCCACAATTCAGCACTTTTGGTCGAGTAATTCAAATTGGAAACAGTATGTATTACTTGATCCAACGACAATGGCCGAGTAAAAAGAAACTGCAGGAAACGCTCTGAATGAAGATCCTTCGTCTTAGATTATCTGAAATCATTGTGTTACCTACGAGCTCATGGTGAAGAGGGTGCATTTCATATATGAACAGACTCTGACGACGAGAACGTAGGAGAGGGTTCGAGACAAGGCGGGTGGTTGCCAACAGTGAAGGTACATGAAGGTAGGGGTCGGCGTCTGATAAAAAATCCTTGCAACATCCACCCTTTATGTTGTCTGTAACAACGCATCGCAATGGATATGTTTCCTGAGGTCGGTTCCGAAGGATGAGGAAAAAGATTTGAGGATCCTTTGACCTTCCCGAGTAGCGGGTCGGTATGCATTCATCCGCCCCATCTCTTAGAATACCGCGAACAAAGGGAATGTATGGCCTATCCCAAGGTTGGTAACCAATATCGGGTAGGTTATCTCTCAGCGCTATCCTCCTACGAATAGGACCTCTGAACTATCGAGCTGACATTAAAGAATCCTTCTCGGTAAAATCATGATTCCATCTCATCAATAAGTCACTGACTTTTAGGCCCAGCATTCACGATATGAACGAAAAGAACAAAAAATTGCTCTTGTTTGTGGTAAACAATTCCGAAAAACCGGAAGGAAGTGCTACGCCTTCAATTTCCCGCCGGACGTCTGTCATAAATGCTGGCGGCGGGAATTCTTCCATTTAGTTCACGGAATCCTATCACTAGGAACTCTTTTTGACCTTTTGACTTATTACACTAATATCTCACACTTCTACTTCCATCCTATCAGTTCGATCGTTCTGTCCTTTGCTTTTCTCAAATCGAAGGCTCTAACCATTTTTTTTCCATACGCCTCCTAAGGCGCACTTATTTTCATGTCCCAGCTCAGTCCACCGCGATCCTCCACCAATGCGGATTTAGAATGTGGTACTTGCAATTTTGTTTCTCTTCGGAAACTGAATCTTCATGGGTGCAAGTTTGACATATTCATATTGGGAAAGAATGCAAGAGTTTCCTGGAAGGAGTCCTTCAAGCGTGATAGGAGGTGAAAAGGTAATTTCATAGTCATGAGAAATCAGGAGCTATATCTCATTACCATTCTTTCCCAAGTTTTTCGATTTTAGACGTGAGCCTTTGTAGATTTCTCACTTCCTTCATATATAATGAAGCGGAGGCATTACCAAGAAATCAGCTTGGCTGCAAGTGGCTTACAGAGCTTGCACGACAAACTACGATTTTCTGCAGGCAAATATTTGTTTTCTTTGTTGGTTCTTTTGTAACTTTTCAGAGCCAAGAATAAAGTCTGCCAAGTAACCGAATAGCTGGAATAGCAGCACACATTAAGTACTGCACACATCTTTCAAGACCAGGAGGGCTCTGCTTGGGGGAACTCTAAGATGACCTCATGGATGCGCAAGGCTAATGAAGAGAGGTGCAGACAATAGAGAAGGCGTGTGTCATTATGCTGGAGAAGACGACGTAGGAACGAGTCTCTGGAGCATCATTCATACCCTCCCTTACAAAAAACAAGAAGAGCGTCGGGTGCAGACCATACACCACAAGTGACGACGACTTCCACAAAATGTGAATGTTTTCTGCCAATGAAATGATTAGCCTGTTGCAGTTGTATTCTATCAGTTGTCACTAATTACAACTATCATTTAAAAAATCAGCTATCACTATAAACTATTAACCAGTTTACTTCGGAGGCCGTCGTCACTTGTGGTGTATGGTCTGCACCCGACGCTTTCTCGTTTTTTGAAAGGGGTGTACCTCACGTCATCATCTATTGCCTGGAATACACTTTGCGTGTGGACACGCGGTAGGGAGCTGAAAAGATACATAACGAATTGGTTGGTACCAGGCTTTCTGTGGGATATCCGTGCGTTCCACTCATCCGAGCTTTCCGCGCATTCGCTATGGTTGCTACGCATAGTCCCGCTACCAGCGGAATCGACACGTCTGCAATAGTGTAGCACATCTCGCGGATTTCCGCGCTTTCCTTACTCGGCGGTGCGAGATATTAGTGCTGCCTCAATGCAGCCATTTTTCCCTCCCCTTTTAACAGTTGTTGCGCTGTTGTGTGCGTCTCTCCAATCTCCATCATCTCTCGTGTTCCCGCCATAAGAGCCATTTGTCAGAAAACACAGTCTCTTCTCCATTACAACTTCATTTAATGCCCTTGATCTACTAGTAGGGGCTTTTCTCTGAGCGTTTTTAGCAGCCTCCTTTTGCTATAAAAGTACACTGGTGTGCAAAACTTAAGGACGAGATAGATGAAGTAACATAACTTATTGATAGCTTTGTGGACCGTTTAACGGTTCCTGTCAATTGCTTTCTGTACTGCCTGTAGCAGCTCTTTGTATGTGTGGTTAGGTTCCATAGAGTTATGTTACGCGCCAGTAACACGTCATGGAAAAGCTACGTTCGTCCTCTAAGTTTTGCACACCAGTGTACTTACTATTATAGAATTCTACCACCTTTTCGACAGCCGTTTACACTTTTACGCGCGCCATCTGAGGCAGGGAGGATAAGTTGCTCCCTCAGCTTTTTTTTGTGGCACGTCATTTCATCGGTCAAAAATCGTGTAGCACCCCATTCCAAGAGCGATAAATCGGACTACTCGATCAACTCAAGACAGATGTTGTCTGAAATTCTGAAACACTATTTGTCCTAATGCAAGGTACCCAATCCATGGAACACGAATGCTTTCAAGACTCATCAAATCCCCACTGGAACTTCAGGCTGTTCCTAAAAACACTCAGATTTTGTGACTTGCCATCGCCTAGCAACCACTTTTTCGGCCGTGTTGAAAAATTACAACGAAACTGTTGTTTCCGTGTTGTTTGAGAAATTGCAGCAGCTAAATGAGAAGTGCCAGT